TCATCTTTAAATTTGATCAATTTATCACTATTTCTTTTTGATAAATATTTTCGTTCACGATCCACTAATTCTTTAAGTCGATGTTCAATTTGTTCAAATGATAATTCTTTAATCGGACATATTTGAAATTGTTGTTCTTGTTTGGTTAATTCAAATTGACAATGATTCAATTGTTTCTTATTGCTTTGTATATAATTCATCACATATTGTTTACATAAATCGAAATCATTTGTCTTTGCCATCGTATAAAATTGATCCTTAATATTAGCTCAAAAGAGAACGTAAAGAATGATTTAAAGATAAAATNTTGCCATAATTGTCGATCCATTTCTAAACAATATTGTTGATCTAATAGTTGAAGTCGTCCATTGATAAATTGTTTTTCATCTTTTTTCTTTAATGAATAATTTAAAGCTTTATTTAATATTTGATAGAGTATCGATGATAATCGTGTCAAATACATCGTTTGTCTAAATATCAGCAGTGCCATTACTCCAAAATTCTTGAATTTTCATAGAATTCCCGATTCACCATGCGCATAATCAACTTTCACATTGAAGGATTCTATATCTTCAACAATATTCATATCGCCGAAGTTTTGGAATTCTGAAATCATTCGAATTAATCAGAATCTTCGAATTGTAGAACAATAAGAACTTTACAATAATTAGAATTATCAGAATTTTAGAATTATGTTAGAATTGTCGGAATTTTAGAATTATTAGAATTTTAGAGTCAGTAAATTTAGTCTGAAGTATGAAATTTTTAGCGTTTGAGAAAGCTATAATTATTGAGTTTGGAATAATGATAATTTTAAAATAAGTATAAATTTTAAGAGTGTCAAATTATTAAGAATACAACATTATACTCGATTTGTTGATTGTGGGAATTTGTAGACCTGCAATATTAGAAAAACTACTATTTGACTTACAATGGAAGGTTGTGAACTGTTAAGCAGTAAAATTGACCTTGTTCCGGGGAAATGATCACTCTCATTGAGAAACTAACGTATTTAAAAGATGAGCTGCCCATGGCTTACCTGGACAGAGATATTCGATTTTTCAGTAAGCTTTCTCTGCTGGACCTTACTTTCGAAGGAAAATCAAATTTTTGAATTTCGACCTGAAACTTTGTAAACATGAAAACCTCAATGAGACTAGTTTACAGAAAAAATTTCAGCATTTTTGAACAATCTTTCATTGAGATATGAAATTCTCAAGATATGCAACTTCTATAGAAAAACGCCAATATTTTCAGAGATGGACATCTCGAAGAGGATTTGTCGAAAAATGCTGAAATTT